TTTATTAAAATTCAAATTATTTTTTTGCTGACCCAGCATCCAAACCAGTTCGACCGGAACTGAAACTATAAACTCTTTTCTCTCGAAACTATCGTTTTCAAAATGAAACCTCCTGTTTTTCAAATTCTGCCGAGTCGATTTACCTGCAATTTTCAATTTTGAATAAAATCTTTTAATAAAAATCTGTTTTTTCAACCATTTCGTGAAAAAAAATCCAATTCTCCTTAGAACCAGGCGTTGCGATATTATTCTAGAATAACAATTTGAAATGTCAAAAATTTCCTAAAATTAACGCCTCTAGACAGGAAGCTGCCTTAAATTTATCCAACTAACAAAGAACGATATAAGTTTTATCCCAACTCCAAACCGCAAAGAAATTTTGTTTGGTTGATTGAAAAGGAGAAATGTTCAGAAGTTGTTGAAAAATTGGGTTAAGTTATTCCATTTGAAGAGGTAAAGTATAAATTGTATATATAGGAAACCCTATTCCAGCGATCTAAAGCAGTGAGAAATGCAAAACGCCTTAAAAATATATGCTCTTGCGGAGTGATAGTACGGTAATAATAAAAGATCGAGGAATAATTTATGTAGATAATAAATATCTTCCACAGAGTCCGCAGCTTTATAAAATCAGAGCGCAAAGATTAATTTAATTCGAATTCAGGAAAATTCAAGAAGTAACATCAAAATAAAAAATATGTTGGAAGAAAAATCAGAAAGAAATTTTGTTTATTCCATATATGTTTATTCCATATATGTATATAAAAAAGCACTTTAAAATGAAAGAATACATGATCTTTCTCACTTAACCCATTTGATGTCTAGATTATAACAAAGAGTTCTCATCGAAAAGCCTCGTGGCTTCGAGTATACTAAATACAATATTTTCTTTTTAGTTATTTACCCTCATTCTCATTACTCTCCAAACACTTTCGCTTTTCTCGCACGATAAAATATGTATATAAACACTTCTCTGTAAAGAATCTACACGTGTACTACAAACCCAAAAGCAGCTACTTCCGAGTCCTCCAGCATTTTGTTGCAAAGCGGTGGCATGTTGACAAGTGATAGGCATAACAGCAAAGTAAGGAAGACAGTGAAAGCAGTAGTGAGCGTCAAAAACTTTGAAAGGAAGTTCTCTAAGTCGGAACGACTTCTATAAATGTGGTTTTTGTTTTCAATGCCTTTAGAAAGCTTCGGAGACTGCTTTAAGCATCCTTTGCGATTTAAGCTTGGCGATTTTTGTCACGAAATAACGGTTAAAGAGAACTTCATAGTTTTGTTAACTGTACTAGTATTTGTTTACCACTTGTGGGCACTATATTGTTGTGCGATTCTCTGATTTTGTGACGCAACGAAAAGTTTTCAAGTTTGCGGTTATGAATTCGGCTGTTGTTCCGCGAATCTGTAATACGATGAGCGATAGTGAAATGCACACAAAGCCTTTGCAACTGCAACAGACAACTTTCACGTAGCATAAAAAATAACAGCAACAAATAATAATACCAACAACATTGGCGGTGACAACAGCAAAACTTGTACCCGCGTGAAATTGTAGAAGTGCGGCTCATCGCTATACAAATCAGAAGCAGATAACCAGCAGTGCCATGCATGCGATACATACGCGATGAAATCCCCTGACATCTGGAGGCAACTTTGTTCTAGTAGGTAAATAACTAGTATTAGTTAAATTCCTCTTTTTTGCTTCAAACACGTTAGAGTAGCGAGAATTTCAAGAAGGGACCGCTGGTACTTGAAGTTTGAGGAACCTTTCTTTTTTGCTGACACTCTATCAGGTATAAGTTTATTAATTTATTTGCAGGTTAAGACACTTTTGAAAGTTAATGGGGCGTTTGGTTATACAGCATTTATCTTATTTATACGATAAAGTTAATTTTTTTCAAAAAGAGTACCGTAAACAGGTCTCTTTTAATATACTTGATTGTGCAATGTGAGACATGGATTTATAAGTTTGCTAAGCAAACATATCCACAATCACCGGAATGGAGGGGAAAAACAATCCAAAACCAAAAAAAAAAAACTACGCCAAAGCCATTATAAAATGAAGCTGATGCTCATTGGTTTTTTTGTGTTTTTTTTTTGTGATGTTCATGGTTTTGTGCATCATGAATTTATACCGAAGGGACAGATGAACGGAATTGTGGAAGAACAATTCATGTATTTTAGACGATGATAATACACTATCGCATCAAGCCACGATTGTGACCGGATTTAATGCCAAAACCGCAATGAATATCATTGGTCAACCACCGTATTCACCAGATTGGGCTCTGTGTCACTTTTTCTTGTTCCCCAAACTGAAATTGCCGACCCGTGAAGTTCGTTTTCAGTCGATTGCAGAAATATAACAAAGTTCGCTGGAAGAGCTTTAGGTTATCATTAAAAGTGATTATGAAAATTCATTTGAATGAAAATTGTTTCGAGGACTGGAAATCGTTGGTCGGCGTATAGGAGTCGGTGGGATCGGCAGTGCTTTAAAGACTACTTTATCCTTAGTATGCTCTACGCCTTTTTTTAATTTCTCATTAATAAGTCAAAAAGATCTTAAGTGGTCTTATAGTATAAACA